TCTTTCTAACACTGGCATGTTAGCTTGTTGCCCATCATCCACCCTAATGGATTATAAAGCTAGTTTATCTGCTGATACTGGTACCCCTTTGACTGATCCCTCTTCCTATCGAAGGTTAATTGGGCGCTTGATTTATCTCACCAATACTTGGCCTGATATTACTCACGCTGTCCACCATCTTAGTCAATTTGTTTCTCAGCCCACATCTTCTCATCAACAAGCTGTTTTTCGTATACTTCGATATTTGAAACAAGCCCCTGGACAAGGCATTTTTCTTGTTGCAGACAGCTCCCTTCAATTGAAAGCCTTCAGTGATTCTGACTGGGCGGGTTGCATAGACACTCGACGTTCTATCACAGGATTTTCCGTTTATATTGGACACTCACTCATTTCATGGAGATCAAAGAAACAGCCCACTGTATCACGCAGTTCATCAGAAGCAGAATATCGAGCTCTTGCTTCCACCGCTTGTGAAATTCAATGGCTCACATATCTTTTAGAAGATTTTCGCATCTCCTTTACTCGACCTGCTCTCCTCTATTGTGACAACCAATCTGCTCTCCAAATCGCATCCAACCAGGTGTTTCATGAACGAATGAAACACATCGAAATAGACTGTCATCTCCTTCGAGAAAAAGTGACCAATGGTTTACTCAAATTGCTGCATGTGTCATCCTCCTCTCAACTGGCTGAAATTTATACCAAAGCTCTATCTCCTTCTCGTTTTAAAGAGCTGTGTTCCAAGCTGGGAATGTCCAATATCTACTTCCAACTTGAGGGGGGCTCTTAACAGCTGTACTCATATGTCTTTCATGACTCATGCACGTCTCTCATGCACGTCACGTTTTTCTTTTTCGTTCACGCCACTTTCTCATTTTGATTTTTCATTCCGTTATTTTCAGACTCTCTTTTGTACCTTTTCTCTTTCTACCTTTTTGCTGCACCATTTTGTACATATACCATCGTTTTCTCAGCAATAAGAGATTGAGCTGTTGTTGATCAATTTTTTCGCATCACCCTTCATTCTCCTTTTCTCCCTCATGCGGGATTTTATTAGATTTATCGAGACTTTATTTTCTCACTTCGCTGCTTTCTCTTTCTTTCTCTCTTCTCTTTTTTTTTTTTCTACTTTCGTTACTTGGTGCCTCTCAATTTACTGCAATTGAGGCCTATTTATAGGTAAATGAGATCTCACATAGCTCACTGATTTTGGATAACATTCTTATCCCCGTAGTAATTTAGTGTACTTGCAGCTTAGGTTACATGTATCCCTATATACGTAATCAGATGAGGTAATTCTTATCTCTGTGCTGCTCACTGTAAATTCTTTAATTCCTTATCTCTGTGGCATCTCTGTACTGCTCACTGTAAATTCTTTAATCCCCTATATACGTAATCAGATTTGGGATGACCTCTCGGCCTGGATTTTAGGATTTGCTGAACTCAAACTGAAATTGCACAAGTGACAATCACAATTTTCTCTAACAGTTACTTACATTGTTCACTTTCATTGAAAATACAAAAAGAAAAAAGAGTCTCATGTTGTTCCGGTATGAAAAAATGCACTAGAAAACAACTAACCTTTCAAGTCCAAAACGAGGTTTCTAGTCCCAGATTTCCCGATTTCATAACGATAAGCGAAACGCATAACTAGGTATGAAATAAAAAAGTATAAAAAGTGGGAAAGAATGAAAGCGAGAAACAGTGCAGAGAAGCGATGAAATACCTAACAGAGAAGGAGGTGTCGTGGCCGGCGAGGGAGTGTTTCTAGTCCCAGATTTCCCGAATGTCTGCGCCGGAGCGAGTGGCGCTGTGTTGTTAAATTTCAGAAGGAGTTGTGTTGTTTTAACTTAGTCTTTCATAATGGGTTTATGAGCCCGAAAGTGGAAAAAACCCATAAGCTCAATCGATGGCAACTTCAGTCAATATTAAATTAAAAGATTATAAAAATTATAACTCAAATCATAATAAATATTTTGATATTAAATTTATTATATATTAAAATTAATTAAATACTTTTATTAAAAAAACTGATATAATTTTAGATTTTATTTACTATATTTTATAATCAAAATAAATCCAATATTAAATTAAAAGATAATAAAAGTTATAACTAAAATCATAATAAATTTTTTGATATTAATTTTAGTATATATTAAAATTAATTAAATATTTATACTTAAGAAATTGTTACAGATTTTAGATATATATTTTAAAGTTTTTATTTTATTAAATTAACTGAAAATCAATTATATTTTATCACTTTTTAATAAAGTAAGTGAATGATAATGAATTAACTAAAATTTTAAAATATATTTTAATTAAAAATAATTTTTTTATCAATACAGTGACTAAAAGTATTATTATACATAATGAAATTAAATAAATTAAATCTTATAATGGTTATTTTTTTAATGATGCTAAATTAAATATTTTAATTATTTTACAATAAATTAAAATGAAAAGATAATAAAATATGTTAACTGATATTTCAAATAAAATATATTAAAATACTATATTCAAAATAAATTCAGTATTAAATCAAAAGATGAATAATTGATTTAGTATGTATATACCTAATTTTATTTAAATTATATATTGAATTTAATTTTTACGTATGAATTTTTTATTATTGAAAGAATTAAATTCGTTATTTAAATAAATTTATATTATAAACAATATAAATAGTCTATCACAAAAAATAAAATATTTTTTTAAAATAATGTAATTTACTCAATCCACATTCAAAAATCAATAACCGTACAAAGTAATCACATATATTTAAAAATAGGTCAAACTAAAGTCTTTACTATAATCTATTTAGTTTAAAAGCAAAGGCTACAAGTTATTTAAAAAAAAAACTTATATTACACTTAAAAGATTGATCTATTTGAATAAAAATGAATAATAATAATAATAATAATAATAATAATTATTATATTAAATTTAATTACTATAATATATTGAAATTATATATATTTTTATTTATCTTTTTAAATATTAAACTTGTTGATTTAAACAATAAAGTGAAATTTATAAGTTTGTTGAAAGACAAATTCATATTCTATTTAGATACTTTATTACAATTTTTTAAAAAAGAGAATAAATTATTACTAATATTAAACTTTAAAATATTAAAAGAAAAGTAATGTAAGCATTTCGTTTCTACACTGTATTAAAAGAAAGAAAAAAAATACATGATAAAAAATGTGAGAAAAAGAAATAACTAAATATTATCTATGAAAAAAAATTCGTAAGTAATATTCCGTAGATAACTAAACATTATTTACGAAAAAAATTTCATAGGTAATATTCTATAGATAACTAAAAATTATCTTCAGAAAAAATTTCGTGAGTAATATTCTATAAATAACTAAACATTATCTATAGAAAAAATTTCGTAGGTAATATTCCGTAGATAACTAAACATTATCTACGAAAAAAATTTCGTAAGTAATATTCCGTAGATAATAACAGTTTTTCTTGTAGTGATTGACTTATTTGGGTTTGAATGGTCTAAACATTTTTTTAGCCCATTAAGGTTGGACGTCCACTTGTCTAAGCAAGTGGTTTGGATGTTCAAGCTTAATGAACAAGTCATCCAAGTTTGTTAAATAAGTCACATGATTTTGATATTGACATCTTAATAAACTAGTCAAAGTAATCATTAGTCTAGTAGTTATAATAATTATGTTAGATAGTTAGAGTTAACTTAAGCTAACATAGGTTGTTCTTAAACTAGGATTATCTTAGCTTGTTCCATAAGCTTCGAGACAACTAACTAGACTTGTAGAAAGTTAACTAGGATTGGTTAGCTTAAGTACAAGATAGTAACCATGATTACACTTGACCATGATTAGTCTAATTTACACCATAAGCCAACCAAACTCCTATATATAGGATTCCTTGTATTGGCAGAAATTACCTTGGAGTTTAATGAATCAGATGCAATTTTCCTAATTCTCTTTCTTAAAGCTTGTTTCTCTCTATGAAACTAGTTCTATTTCTCTTATCCTCTCTTGAGTGTGGTGAGATTTGGAGTAACTTATCACTCATTGAGTGTGGTTTCAACCAAGGGGAACTCTTCCCTTTTCATGTGTGTTTGAAGAAGGCTTCTAACGCCCTTGAAAGCCTTTAGAAAAGTTAGGAGGAGACCAAGAGGAAAATATTTGTGCAAAGGAACTTAGAGGAAGAACTATATCAACCTAGTCTCTCCAAAGGATTTTCCATCATGATCTTTTATCTCGACATTTGGGAGTTTTAATTTCTTACCAACATGTGTGACTAAGTAATAACTATGGACAACTATAAAATCCCGGTTGAATGTTCAACCTAGTGAGATACTTTTTTATCCAATTGGACAACATGTGTAGCATTGTTATTTAATACTTTATCGATTCTACTTTCTTTTTTTTTGCTAAGTATATAATTTGTTATTCAGTCTAAATAAATTTTCTTGTAAGCATATTTAAAAGAAAAAACAAAGAGGCAAAAGGAATCAAACTTGATAAGTTAAAATTAAAATACATATTTCAACTTTTGGAGAAGTAAAAAAAAAACTTTTAAAATTATATATATATATATATATAT